CCACACCATTTGTGATATTGCTACAGTCACCCTAGCAGAGTAACATAGATGCTTCCTGTCTAGTCTACACAGACAGGAAGGTATCTGAGGGCCCGTAGTGTCCTGATCACATCTGTGAACTCCAACTTGAGTGTGCACATAAGGCAGGTATTCATCAGAGTTTCAGGAGAGGGATTACCTACTGAAGGTTGGGAACCCAGGAACTGAATGTGTGCTAATGTCTACCCTGGGAGGAAGTGAGGGAATGAGGGGACGTCATTGTCCTCTGGGATCTAAACGTCAGCTCATGTCCAGTACTGAGGCAGGAAGCATAGGGGTTCACCACTGTTGACTTTGGGCCCCCAATAACATCCCCCCAATCAAGACATCTGAGAGAAAGTGTCTGGACTTTGGGTTCCACTTGGCTAACCACTCATGAGTTGTGTCACATTGGCAAGTCACTTGAACTCTATGTTGCCATTCACAAAGGCGTGGGTAATGGTAGCTTCCTTCTAAAATTACTGGAAGGATTAAACAAGGCGTTATACGTAAAGCTCTAAATATGAGTATGTGCTCAAGCAATGGGGGCAACCATCCCGCAGCAGCATTGAGATTAGCCTGATGAGGATTAGTAAACCAGCTCAAAGGCTTGTTTGTTCAATAAACAAGTAGCAGAGGTGAAGGTTAGCTGTGGATCTGTTTACATATGTGGAGGTCCGAATCAATACTCAGCTGATATTGGTTTTATTCCCATTAGATATGCTGAGAATTAGTTATGACTTCCTGAGACGCTGCATGAATCAGTTTTCGTTACTACAATGAAATACGTGACTCAGGTATTTCAATCCCAACAGAAGACATGGTAGAGCAGAAAAAGTTCTTGCTGATGAGGAGCAGGAGATTCTAATTCTCACTTTGCCTCCAGCTGGGTGGCCCTTGATACTTCCCACGCTCTTCCAACCTGTAGTTCCTGAAAAGAGAGCCCTGGCCTCCTAACAATGACAAACATGTGGCCTCTGTGCCACTCCTCTCATGCCTGTTGCAGACATCACTAGTCAAGGTGATATTTCTTCCCTATACAAACAGTTTCTGAATCTCTGCCAAAATAATCCTCTTGGATTACCCAGGAACCACCACATAGGATCCAAGATGGAACCAAGTTACCATTCTGTCCTAACGATCCCTGAAGTGTCTCCCAGTTGCTAGGTTTTTTGTTTTGTTTTGTTTTTTTCAATCTGATATTTTTCTTGGCTAGAAATTGACTTCATTATGCATCTCCCAAGGTGGTTTCTGTGGGCATGCACACATCTGCATGTGGCGTGTGGATGCCAGGGGTTGACATTGGATGCTTTCCTCAATCGCTCAGCACCTTATTTTTTGAGGCAGCATGTCTCTGAACCTGGGCCTCACTGATTAGGTAGACTGGCTGCCCAGTGAACTCCGTTTGTCTCTGTCTGTACCCAGCACTGTGGTTACAGGTTTGTGCCACCACACCTGACTTTTACATGGTTTCTGGGGATCCAAACTCAGATCCTCATGCTTGCATGGCGAACACACAATTGCTTTACTGACCGAGCCATCTCCCCAGCCCTCTCCCAAGCTTTCTATGTGGTGAAGTTTTAGCATCTTTTATTGTGTAAAGTTCTTCATCAAGACTTGTCTTACTGTTCTGTATCCTACTCTTCCAAATCAAATATCCGTCAGATTCACTAGGACCAGAGTCTTATTTTTCCCAACCCTGTGTGTTTGGTGTCCCTTTTGCAACTCCAAGATACCCAGAATAGTATGACTATGACTTGCATTTCCACCACACTCATGTAGGAATTTAATGCCCAGAGGCACTTGTTAATAGTATAGTGTCTAAACTAAACCCAGCTCTGGTGTCTAAAGATGAACCCTTTGGAAACTGCTTAGGATTAGATAAGGTTAATAGGGCAGAGCTCCCATGACTGGATCCCGATGACTTTATAAGAAATGAGAGAAAGACCAGACTCATCGACTCCACACCACATATCATTAGTCTTCTCGGGGCACTGGCAGCAAGGATATGATCAGATCTGAGCCAATGCCAGCATGCCTCCCATAAACCCTCAAAACTTGGGCTAAGTAAACTTCTTTTTCATTAGACTAACCCACCTCTGGTATTTCATTGCAGTGATGAAAATCTGGTTCATATAACATACCAGAGCAGGGTTAATTCATACCATGTATGAATATTTCACCTCATCCTCTGCCCATCCCATTGATAATGGTTGGCAGATTAAGGTGTTCTCCCACCAAGAGACAGAGTCCCAAATGTGTCCTCACTCATTCTCTATATCTGATGAGACTTACTGGCCATTTCACCCTGAGAAAATGTGGCCAAATAAACTCTTAAGCAAATTATTAAACCAAGGGGAAGACTAGCTGTGTACATGTCTGTGTTGGGGATCTCAGCTCCAAACTGGTGCAGTATAAAGTACATTCACTCCTCAGGAGTCTCACCAAGACTGGTCGTCTTCCAGCCTTTGCAGCAACCCCAGAATGTGGCTGTTCCCATGAGTCAGTCACTAGAGCAGAAAGAAAGTGAATCTATGTTCAACTTGTCACGCTTGCCTTGGTCTCCCAATTGTTTGCTTTGAATAAGATGCTCAGTCTTTGCTGGGCTTACTGACAAAACATAAATAGCACCTCTCATGGGGGTCCTTTCAGTACACAGAGCATCTCTAGAAGACAAATGAGTCAGGACACTGAGCTTCCTGCACATTATTATGTCACTGTGTTGATCTGTTACTGTTTGGACTTCTGCATAGAAAATATGCTACTCACGCTGGAGATGTGTAAAGGGGAGCAAAGACATGAGCTGAAGGGATGCTGTGCAAATGCCATGGGCTAGGAGGCCTTTGAGACACTGCTTGTGCTTAAATAGCTTCAGTTGTCAGCTTGAAGATGGACACAGTGGGCCATAAGCTCTGAAATGAGACCTTGTTACTGAAGAGAGTGACCAGGTATGATTTCCTTAATCCGTCTTCAAAGCCCAACCATGATCAGACATACAGCAGTTACTTAAGAAGTAGGTGAATGGAAGGATAGATAGGTGAGTGGGGGAAGGAAGGAAGGAAGGAAGGAAGGAAGGAAGGAAGGAAGGAAGATTGAAAGAATAGAAGAATGGATACATGGATGAGTAGGTAGATGGATGGAAGAAAGGAAGGCTGTAGGGATAAATGGATGCATGGGTGAGTGGACAGATGCATGGATGGATGGATGGATGGATGGATGGATGGAAAGGAAGGAGGGATAGATGAATGGATGGGTGAGTATATGGAGGGAGGGATGGAAGGATACATGGGTGGGGGTGAGTGGATGGATGGAAGGATGGAGGGATGAAATATGATGAGTGGATGAATAGATAGGTGAATGAATGGATGGGTGGGTAGATGGAAGGAAGGGATAGATGCATGAATGGGTGAGTAGATGAATAGATGGATGGAAGGTTAGATGGATGGATGGTTGGATGGATGGGAGAGAAGATGGGGAAGGAGTTCCTTGACCCAGGATATCCCTGTTCTTGCTTCTCAGTCTGAGAGAGCTGCATGACCCTCTTCCACACTAGGTCAGCTCGGGAGTCTCTGTGCCTCCAAGTTCCCCATGCACCAGTGAGCACCGCACACTGAGGCTGGAACAGTTGCCCAAGGCGGGTACATGCTGACCTTTCCATGTGACCATGACTGCCAAGATTGGCAGGTGATGTTTGCTGCCCTCTCATTCCTCAGGCCACAGCAGCTACCCACAGAGCTAGATTCAAAAGTGCACAGGTGCATTAGACTCCCAAGCTCATGTCCTGTAAGTAAAACTTACCTTCCAGTCACCTGAGGTCTGGGCCCTAGGACTCTCACTTTGCCCCTGGGGAGAAAGTTCTCTGCATGGTCAGAGACCACAGTGGGAGGCAGCTCTAAAAGTGTCCTAGCCTTGTATGGTAGCACACCACAGGGGCTGGAAGCTGTGTTCAGGGACTCTTATTATAGAGGGGCACCTTGTTCTGAACAGGGAACCAGTGAAAGGATAGAGCCTCCTCTTTGGAGAAGCAGAAACAGAGCCCTGGCTCAGCTGCGGGCTAGCTATAGATTCTGAGTAGGCCACCTGACCTCCCTGGCCCCAAGTTTTTGCAAGGCTGTAAGGATCAAATGGAACACTGCTCAGAGCTCCCTCAATGACTCAAGAGACAAGACTGTACTACGGAGATTTAGAGAAAGGGTTAGGGAAAGAGTTAAGTACTCAGATGTAGGCAACAGAGGTAGGCAAGAGTGGGGAGCTGCCCCAAGGCAAGAAGTAAAGAACATCTGGAAGAGCTAAAGCAGTGGAGAGGGTTCTCTTAGCTGGCAGAGGGATGCTAGGGCACAGAGCTAGACCATCATGGAAGCATGAGAGCTGCCAGCCTCTCCTTGCCTGTCAGAAGCTCATTGGCAAACTCAAAAGCAGGACAGTTGGGGGCAGGAGAGACTGAGGCACAGTCCCAAGGCCTCAGCCTCCAAGGGACAAGCGGGGCAGAGAGGGGCAAAAGAAGGAATACGGGTTTTGGGTGCGCAGGTGGAGAACTGAACTTCTACTTGATATTGAACACATACCGAGACTATATACATAGAACATGGTAGATTATAGCTAAACTCTAAAGCAGTCCATAGGACTGTTTTGCTACTGTCTTTGTTTTATTGAACACCTTGATGGTTTCCACCTAGGCAGTCTGCTCTCACAATTTGTGGGCAGGTGTTCTGACCTCTGTTCATACCTGGGGCCTCTACTGGGTGGGGGAGAAGTTGGCTGAGATCACACTGGAGCCAGATAGTCAGGCTTGATCGGTCAGGCTTCCAAGACTGACTGTACCTGAGATCTTTCTATTTCTGTAAGAATTCACACCCTCCTAATCAAAGCCAACCAAAGGCCCATGCTAGAGGGCAGATCAGCAGGAAGTCTTTTAGAGCTTTGTGCCTTACTGGGCTGTAGGACCAAGCTGAGTGACTCTGATGTATATAACTTTATCTAGGATGGCACACCCCATTCTGTCCCTCTGGCTGCTAGTGAGCTGGCTAGATCCCCACACCTGTGAGGCATCAACACCAGTGACTCTTCGGGCACCCTCCTTCATCTTCAACAACTCCCAATTTGCCTTCAGCCTCTACAGACAGTTGGCAGTACCCAAACGGGGCAGGAACGTCCTCTTTTCTCCATTCAGCATTGCCGTGCCCCTCACGCTGCTGGCCCTCCAGGCCAAGCCAGAATCCTCCTACCAGATTCTTCAGGATCTGGGGTTCAGCACGAGGGAAGACGTAAACACCCAAGCACCCACACACTATGGGCAGCTGCTGGGTGCCCTCCTGCCGCATCCTGGGGAGTGCGGGGTAGATACCGGAAGCTTGCTGTTTATGGACAAGAGGTTAAACCCGGTACAGAAGTTTGTCTCACTAGCCCAGAGCTTGTACCGCACCGATGTCTTCCTCATCGCCTTAGGGAACTCCGAGATGGCCATGGATCAGATAGACTCGGCCATGCGTGACAGGACCCACGGCAAAATTCAGAAGCTTTTGAAGGAGCTGGAGCCCCATTCCACCTTGATTCTGGCCAATTATATTTTCTTTAAAGGTCAGTGATCCTTTCCCAGTGCTCTGGCAGCCCCATGGCGCTAGCCCTTTACAGATCTTTGCTCCTTCAGCTTGGGACAGCTCTGCCCCCCCACCTCTATGCCTAGGCGCCTTCCTCTTTAGTTTTCTTTTTCCACAGCTCTCTCAAACCTCCTCAGTACAGTCTTGTCCTTTGAGTTGTTGAGTGGGCCCTGAGAAACGCTTCATTTAATCCTTACAAACAACCCTGTAAAACACTGGGCTGAGGAAGGTTAGGATTATTTAGACCTCTCCCAGTTGTTGCAAAGGTCAGCCATCTTTTCCTAGGCAAACCCCGACTCTCCTTGCCCTGCTTGTCTGGGGCTCTACATGCAGGGCCCTATGCACTGGCTCCTGCTCCCATCTTTTGCCTCTCTCTGGAACCTTCCCCTGAACATTCAGACTCTAGCCCCTACCCTCTCCTCTCTGACACAACCAAGTTTCAGGACACGGTGTCTCAACTCAGAACCAACTACATCTTCCTTAGGGCCCAGTGACAAAGGAGAACAAGGGGCCCTTTGTTCTAAAATCATATTCCAACATGGAGACAACAGAGCACTAAGCCACCCATGGGGCCCTGCATGACCACCCAGCTCATACCCTTGGTAGCTAGCACTGCCCTCCTAAGCTACACCAGTGTGCCTCCCATTCCAGACACAAGTCTTGTGTCTGCGCAGGTTATACATCTTGTTTCCAATTGTTGAATCAAGCTGCCTCCAACCCACTTTACAGAAGAGACTCTGTAGAGCAGGGATACATACTCCCAGCCTAGCTGTTGGTGGTATTCTGTTGGCCTTCCTGCTGGACACACTCCTCTCCTGGCTCAGCATGACCTTTCTTCTCCTCCTCTGCTCCAATCTCAGAGCAAATCTCTTTCTCATGAAGCCACCTCAATGGGGGCCCATCATGAAGCTCCTTCCCCAGCCTCCTTTTCTATGCTAGGGTCTTACGCCATGTTGTGCCATGACAACATGCCTGTGCATGAAGACGCCCACCTCCATACCAGACCCTTGTGCCCACCAGCCACTGGTCACTTCCTTCTGAATGAAGTATCCTGGGCTCAGCATGTTCCCATCCAAAGCACTTCTTTCCACCATTTCCTCCACCCAGAAGTCTCCCCTTCCTGCTCCTTTCCTCTAGGCTCAGTAAATGCTCCAACTCCAGCCAGGGCCTGAAGGTTGTCACACTGCTAGGGAGACAGATCCCTGGTCTCTTTTCTCTCCACACCACATACTAACTTTTGACCATTGACCCAACCATAGCTATTGTTCCTGTTCAACTTACCAAGTTACATTATCTCTTGTATCGTTTGGAGAATTTGGAAATGGTAAACTCACATTATAGAAACAGTGACAAATTTCACATTATTGTTGAAGCTTGGTAGTACAGTTTCGTTAGGAAACAGTATTCAAAAATTATAATAGACATTTAATTTCAAATTTATATTCTAACATCTAGTTACATATTTTTAGTGTGAGCATTATATTGGTTTAGTTATTACAGCGATTTCTATTTCTTTTTTTCTTTTTTTTTTTTTTTTTGAACTACCAGACTGTGATTTTTATCTCTAGAAGTTCAGTCAGGGTATATGTGAGCCAGAGTTGTGGTCCCTTTGCAACTACCTCTACTTTTATTGTTTGTGTCTTGGTTTTTGTTTTGAGACAATTTCACCCTGTAGCCTCAGCTGGTCTAGAACTTGCTGTATAGACCAGGGTGACCTCAGTCTCGCAGAGATCCACCTGCCTCTGCCTTCTAAGTGCTAGGAGTAAAGGTGTGCACTAGCACACCGGGCTTACTTCTTAATGAGTTTTCCTATTTGCAATTTGCCTCCCCACCAAGGGGGCCACAGGGCCCTTGAATGTTATGTCTCCTACTGAATCTTCCTCCACGTTACCTCTCCCTCCCTTCCTCTATCCAAAAGCACCACAGATGACAAGAAACGACAGTCCTGATGGTGTAGATCTGGCAGATCCCGCCCTGACAGATCCTGGCCCTGTTATATGATGTGACTTTGTCCCTGTCTCCCGTCATCTTCTCCAGCCAAGAGGGGCCCTCCTTCAGGGTTCAGCTCACCCATCACCTCCAGGAAGTCTCCCCTGACAAGTTCCTCTGGGAAAGAGATTGTAACCTTTAGGAACAAAGCAAAGGACCCCCAAATGTCATATACTCCTGTAAAACAATTATTGTCCTTCTGACGTTCAGATGTAATTAGGCACCTGATAGCCTAGTTACCTGATAGCCCTTCCTATCACCACTCAAAGGACGTGGAGAAAAACAAGCTTTTGTTTTAAGCATGCAGAGTCTGAGGTGCTTTTTAGACATTCGAATGCACGTGCCCAGGTGGCTAAGCAGGAACTGTGAGAGGTGCCAGCTGGTGTTGGGGACTGGGAACCCCAGAAACAGAACAGTTCAGAACTTCTGGTGGAGTTCTGGTAATGCCACATTCTTTCTTTCTCTAAAGATATACTGTCCTTAGTATCCTGATTACTTGTCCCAAGGCTATAAGCTTCTTCTGCAGATGGATGCATGGTTTTGTGCAATATATACCTTTACTGTAACCAATCAGGATTGCAGGGAAATAAAACCAGCTTCCTGGTCCTCCCCAGTGCCTCTGGTCCTATTGGAGCACAGACCTCAGTAGCCACAGCAGGTGATGGCAGAGCTGGCCACTGCAAGTCCTGGCTAGAACCTCAGCTATGGGGTAAGAAGCCAGGAAACCAGCTCATAGGAGGCTGAGCTACAATTTCTTGACTCCAGGCCCATAGGACTGCATTCTAACTGATCCTGAAGATACCAGGGAGAGGAAGTTATCTAGATGTTAACTAGTTATCTAGTCATCTAGTTATCCCAGTAGATGATGGGAGAGTTGTACAGTATTAAAAAATGAATGGCTAACAATTACCAAGCATTGCTATATGACAGGACTATACTCAGGGCTCTTTTTACATTGATACTTACTGGTATCTGTAAGAGACCTATTACCTCCTCAGTTGACCCAGGAAGAAACTGATGGACTCCTGCGCGCCCTGGCCTCACTTCTCACCCTCTGTCGCCTCTTTCCAAGCAGCTTCACAAACTTCCCCATGTCCTTAAAACATGGCAGACCCCTTCCTGCCACTGGACCTTTGCATGTGCATTCTATCTCTCCAGAATGTTCCTCCTCTGGATATTCCACTTGTTCTCCTATGCTATTAAGTCTCCAATTCATATCACCTTCTCAAGAATGCTTTACATGGAATTATAACTGTCTCCCTGGCTTTCTCTCTCCCCATAGCTCACATCACCAGCTGGCATATTGGTTTATATATGGAGTCTGCTGCTTGTATTCCATACTATGGAAGATCCATATGAACAGGGATCGCTCATACCTGCCTGCATGACTTGCCACATAGCACCCTGAGGGCCTCCCTGGTGGACAACCCGAGCTGTGCCCTGGGGACTGCTGGCCCTGCTGATTCTTGTGCACTCTCTTCTCAGGGAAATGGAAACACTGTTTTGACCCAAAGCTCACTGAGATGAGGCCTTTCTCATTGCGTGAGGGGGTCACGGTCCTGGTTCCCATGATGCAGCGAGTGGGCTGGTTCCAACTGCAGCATTTTCCTCCCCTGCACAGTCATGTCCTCCGGCTGCCCTATAGCTGCAACATCTCTGCCATCTTCATTCTTCCAGACCTGGGGAGAAGCCAGGAGTGCGAAGAAGCACTGGTGGGGGAGAGTTTTGACACGTGGATTCAGCCCTTACCACTGAGGTGAGACCCAGGTATCTCTGCCTTCCCCTACTGCAATGAAACCCTTCTAATGGTCACCTCGGTTTCTGGGCATCTTTAGGCCATGATGTGGGGACTGGGACTAGGTCACGTTCTAATTATCAGACAAGATTCAGCCATTCCTCCCAGAGATGGGAAGAACACACTGAATGATACCACCATCACCATCACCATCATCACCATGGAACCAATCCACTGCATCTTCCTTTGAGAGATTCATAGCTCACCATAGCCTTTAGAAGCATTGTGAGATTATAAATAAGGGAACAGAGCTGGAAAAATGGCTCAGCTGGTCAAGGTGCTTGCCCCCAAGCCTGGTGACCTTAGTTTGATTCCTGGAACCTACCTGATATAAGGAGAGAACGGACTCTCATAAGTCATCCTCAGATCTCAACACTCAGGCTGTGGCGCACGTACAAGTGTGCACACCGTGCACGCGTGCACACACACACACACATCAAGTCACACATCAACACACACAAATAAATACTTAAATTTCTAAAAACAACAAAAAAAGAAGGGAACAAGGGGCTTGGGAGATGGCCCAGTCAGTAAAGTGTCTGCCTTACAAACATGAGGCCTTAGAGTTCAATCCCCAGAATCTATGTACAAAGAGCCAGGCATGATGGAAAATGCTTGTAATCCCAGCACTGGGAAGCAGAGACAGGCTGATCCCTGGGACTTACTACTCAAGCAGCATAGCTTGTTCGGCTATGAGAGACTCTGTCTCAAAAGACAAGGTGAACAACTCCCGAAGTTGTCCTTTGACCTCCACACACATGTGCATACGTAGGTATGTGTACACCCGCACACACATGAACACAGATGCATACACACATACATACATACATGAAGAAAGGAACACGTATCCCTTGGAAGGCAAAGGCCCAGCACTTCCCAAGCAGGGTTTGAACATGTGATGGTTTAACAGAGGACCTGTGCACAAACTACAGTGCTGTGGAATCTTAGTTGGATAATTACCTGCCCTACCACTTATGTGATCTGTAAGTGACTTCATAGGGTACCAGACTCAGACTCAGTCCTCTTTACTGGGTGCTTTGTTGGGGAGTCTATGACTTTCCATCCACCCACCTGCCCTTCTCTTAGCTCTGTCCTGACATGTTTATTTCCATTATTTAACACCTTTGCTATTCAAAGTCTGCCCTGTGACCAGCATCTTTGACTTCATCTGAGTACTTGCTAGAAACACGAGCTTTAGGTCCACCCCATACCTACGTATTGGAATCCTCTTACCAGGTCCAATGAGGATTCTTGTGCATGTTAAAGACTGAGAAACCCTGACCTCAAGCAAATCTTGCCACTTCCAAATAGATCCTCCAGCTCCCCACCACATAAACCACCTATGCACTGTCTACCAAGTCCTGTACCCCTGTCCTCTGCCCTCTGTCCTCTATCCTGTCCCTGTCTTCTCAATTTTAGCATGTGGTAGGCTAGAGAGTCTCTGTCTCACAGAGCTATCCTGAGTATCAAAGGATGCTCAGCGGTGTCCCTGGGCACTCTGCCTACCAGATGTCAGAAATGTCCTACCCCCAGATGTAACAATCAAATCAATCCCAAGTCACTGATAGATGTCCCCTGGAGATTAGGTTTGTTTCTAGGAGTTGCAGCAGGTGGGGCCCTGCCTATGTGACAGGATAGGAAATGGGCCTCATGGAGCTGAAGGTTGAACTCATCCTGACAAGACATTCTCTCATTCTCAGGGAAACTGACGGGAGGCTCAATATAGCAACCTGATACTTGGTCCACCCAAGAAGGTTTCTGTTAGGAAGTTGGACTGGGTTAGTGCCTGGGATCCAGATAGAGGAGGAAGACACACTTCCTTGGGGCGAAAGCACTTCAGAAAGAAAAGCTACCTCTTGGCATGTGGTCATCCCTAAGCCTGTCACATACAGCTTCTACCTGGCTGCTGAGCATGGAGATTTCCTATAAGTGCTTGGCTTGATGTATTTGTTTGTTGAGACAGGGTCTCACTATGTAGCCCCAGCTGGCCTAGAAGCTATGCACACCATCCCGGGCTGGCTTCAATCTCACAACAATCTCCCTGCCTCTGCCTCCCAAGTGCTGGGATTAAAGGCATATACCGCCACACCTGGCCTTGGTTTGATTTTTTTTTAGTGTGTTGTTTTTCACTTTGACTTTTTCCCCCAGCATCAACAAGGTATCATTGACAAATGAAAACCATGTACGTGTAAGTGGGTGGCATGCTATTTTGCTGCACATAGGCATAGTGAGATGCTGCTGAGCCAGCCATCACCTCACACGGGTCCCATTTCGCCTGTGTGGTGGAACTGCTTCAGTAGGCCCCCATGAACGACTGCAAGCTCACAGGGCAGTGTGAACATCTCCAGGTCCCAGACACATGATGGAAATCCAGAAACAGACCATCTCCCTTGCAGTCCAGGCAGCCTCCCCCTACTCTATTACCATGAGTGTGATTCTTAATCCCACATCCCACATGTAAGCAAATAAGCTTGCCTCATACACTTTTGAGGTGCAAACAGGAAATGGTGGTGGTTAGCCTTCCCCGGGACCTGTAAGGTCCAAAGCTTGGCTAATAGACAGGAGAAATTAGAAACAGCCTAAGTTGGAGCACAGACAAGATTTGCTCAGCTGGACCAGGGCAGCCACAGCCCATCTGAGAAGCAACAGCACAGCTCTATAAGGACCCTCAGCTTTGAGTAACCATGGGCAAATTGGTAACCTCCTTGACCCCGTCTTCTCATCTGCAAAGCAAGTGCTCTGACCGCCTGTCCCCAGCTTTATCAAGAAGATGGAAGGATAGTCCATTGAGGAGTGCCTGCTCAGACCTGCCTGTGTAGGCTCATAGCAAATGTAGCTGTGTTATTTGAAATCTCTTGTTTGTTCGGGGAGGCCGCTGCCAGTTTATTGTACAACATCATTTCAGCTCTGTTTTCTCTCATTCCCCTGAGCAGCAGGAGGAGGCTGTATCTCCCCAAATTCTCCCTTTCTGGCAGTATTCAGTTGGACCAGCTCAAGCATCCAGCAGGCAGCCTAAATTTGTTCGGTCGCCATGTGGGCCTCTTTGGAATCACTCTGCAAGTCACACCCTTGAGGGTCTCCAAGGTAGGTCAATGCCCCATGACCAGTACCTTTAAACCTAACGGTACATGTGGCTACCCCTTCCAGACTCACTCAGGGAGTACCAATGGGTCCCCACAGTGCTCTATGAAGTCAAAGGAAACGGTGAATAACAATGCCAGCACTGTCCTGGGTATGGCTGTGTTTCCGAGATAGCAGGTCTGGGGAAGGACAGGGTCGTGTCCCCAAGCTCACCACCTGTTCTGGAGTAGCAAGGAACTTGGGAGCCTCAATGATGAATATGTCTATGCAGCCTGCTCCTTTTGGGACAGGACAGCACTCTAGTGGTTACAGAAGAGTGGTGTGGGAGAGTTGTATAAGGACGGGCCCTGCTGTAGAAAGAGGTTAAGTTAGAGCAGGATGAGGGATGGAGTTAAGTTACACAAGGATGGTGGGGTAGGTGAGACCCCTAAAATGGAGTCTTCATATTTGAACATCACCATGAGGCTTCACCTAGAACAGAAAGAGGAGGTGTTAAAACACTGGCTACCTTTGAGACAGAGCAAGTCGCAGGGCTTCAAAGCCCAGGGAGTGGATCCTGGAGCTGGTGGCTGAAAGGCCTGGCCTACAGGCCACATGCATTGAGAAAGGGTGGCGAGATAAAAGCCACTAGGGGTTTTTGCAGGAAATGACTAGATGGAATCTGAGTATTCGGGGGCCCCAGCCAGTAGAAGGAGTGTGCTGCAAGCCAGTAGAAAGACAAGTTAGTGAGGAACAACTGAGACAGGTCTCAGAGAAAAGAATGGGCATGGAAAGAATAGACGGACAAACACACAGTGCGGTGGTGGAAGTGCCAGGACTCAGTGGGCTGGGATGGGAAGGGGTGTGAATTACGAGAAAGCCATCCTTCTGGGAGACAGACAAGGAACATGGTATCAGTAGAAAGACAAGTTAGTGAGGAACAACTGAGACAGGTCTCAGAGAAAAGGATGGGCGTGGAAAGAATAGACGGACAAACACGCAGTGCGGTGGTGGAAGTGCCAGGACTCAGTGGGCTGGGATGGGAAGGAGTGTGAATTACAAGAAAGCCATCCTTCTGGGAGACAGACAAGGAACATGGTACAAGCCACAGAGCATCACAGGAGCACAAAGGCCACACAGCCCCCTATATCCCAGAAACTCAGGCTGCCCCTGGCCAGGTGGTACAAATGGAGGGTCAGTGTGGCACCTCCTGGGCTTGGGAGGGAGTGCCCGCTTGGTAACACTGTGAACCTCGGTCCTCAAAGATGGTGCACAAGGTGGAGCTGACC